CTACAAGCTTCAACTGCATTGGAAGCAAAATACTTCTACACATACTGCAAAATTTTTTCTACACACTGCAAATTCCATATCTCCTACTGCATTACAATCAAACAAAATCAGCAAATTCTAACTGCTTCAGAAGTGAACTCTAACGCTACATCAGCAAATTTCTATTCCACCACAAACTATATCTCTTGGCTGTTGGATCACTTTGTTACAAGTTCAGAGTGACAGTTAGCTGCTACATCAGCAAATTTCATTCCACCACAACTATATCTCCTGGCTGCGGTGATCTTTGTTACAAGTTCAGATGTGACAGTTTCTTATCCTATCCTTAGCATAGCAAAACGTGAACAAGAGAGAGCTTTGGTTAGGACATCAGCTATCTGATATTCAGATGACCATACTGCACTTTTAACATTTTCATGTAACTAATTCCCTAACAAATGCACTTCAATTTCGATGTGCTTTGTTCGGGCATGAAAAACAGGATTGGAGGATAATGCCCCAGCACTCATGTTGTCACACCATATGACAGAGTGTTATTTATTGAATGCCAAGTTCCTGAATAGGTTCTGAATCCATACAAGTTCAGTGGTTGTTTGACTCAGAGATCTGTATTCAGCTTCTGTAGATGATAAGGACACTACCTTTTGTTTTCTAGATGACCATTGGACCAAGTTGCCTCTAAGAAAAACAGTGTACCACTGTGATCTCCTATCAGTTTCATCTCCAACCCAATCAGCATCTGAAAATGCTTCAAGTAAAAGGCTGCTTCTTTGTAAAGAGAATGCCATGCTGCATTGTTCCCTTAACATTCGGAGAATTCTTTTACATGCTGTGCCAGTGAGCTTCAGTGGGCTGCTGCTGCAAGACGGCTAAGCTTGTTTACAGCAAAGGCCAAATCTGGCCGAGAGAGTGTTAGATACTAGAGGCCACCAATGACACTCTGTACAATGTGGCTGATCAAACACCTTATTATCCTCCTTTCCAAGTCGAAGACCAGTAACCATGGGGTGGAGCAAGGCTTTGAGTCTGCCATTCCTGCCTTTAGAGCAGATCATGTGCATATTTAGTCTAAGACAGTAGTAATCTAGACTCATTTCTCTTTACCTTAAAACCCAGGAAGTACTGCACTGTCCCAAGAGTTTTTGGGGCAAATTTGCTATTCAAGTCAGCAATCAACTTGATATGAGCTGAGAATCATTCCTGTTACAAGGATCATCTACATACACTAACAGATACATTAGCTTGGAATCCTTTTTTAAAAAAATAAACTCACATCTAAAACAGAGTTTTCAAAGCCCCAATTATCAATGCAGCTTTGAGTTTGTCAAACCAAGCTCTAGGGGCTTGTTTTAAGCCATACAATGCTTTATGAAGTTTACAAACCTTCTCAGGATGACCCGGCTACTGCAGTACCAGAATACCCTTCAGGAGGAAGCATAAAGACTGCTTCAGAGAGCTCCCCATTCAGAACGCATTATTAACATCCAACTGCTGGATTTCCCAATTTTGATGCACTGCATAGGATAACATTACTCTGATTGTGGCTGCTTAACAACCGGGGAAAATGTGTCAAATATCTAGACAGGTGTTTGTTGGAAGCCTTTAGCACACCACCTGGCCTTATACTTCTGAAGTGTCCCATCAGAATTTATTTTGTTCTAACACCCATTTACACCCTACAACATTCATTCGTTCTTCATAAGAACAATCTCCCATGTTTTTGCTCTCAAAGCCTGATATTCAAGTCCATGCCTTGTTTCCACTCAGAGCTTAACAATGCTTCAGTACTGTTTTAGGTTCTAGAAGAATAGAAGTGTGTGTAACTTCATCTTGATAAGCAATGGAACCAGGATTAGGATAAGCAGCTGACTTTGATCTGGTGACCATGGGGTGTGTGTAAAGATGAGGTATTGAGCAGTGGAAAACTACTTCCAGGTTAATTCCAGGACATGTGAAATCTGATTCAAGGGAGGTTGAGTTTGGATTGATAGTTGATGTATCAAGCTGACCAGGTGTACTGATGATACAGAAGCAAGATTAGGTGAAATAGTAGGTTGAACAGGGTCTAATCAGATTGTATTTTGATATTGGAGACAGATTAGATACGGCAGCAGGTTTATAGGTTCTGGAACAGAAATACATTCAGGTGTTACATCAGGTTGGGAATAATGTTCTGTAGAAGTAAGTTGGATGAAACTGCAGGTGGAGTAGATTCTATACAATTAGAAACACTTTGAGGTAGGATCCATTTACAGTGGTGTTCAAACTAAATTCAACTGGAGATGTGCAACTATTCAAAGTAAATGAACCAAATCACCTTGAATGGAAAATATGTCTCATTGAACTTAACTTGCTTAGCAACATACAATCTCCAGTAGAGGCCACACAAATATCCTTTATGGGCAAGGCTATATCCAAGAAAGCACACTTCTCTTAGTAAGAAGAGTTTGTGTTATCTGATATGGCCTCAAGTAGGGATAACAACTACATCCAAAAACCTTCAATTCAGTTGTAGTTAGGCTGCTGTGTAAATAAAACAGAATATGGTGAGGCAGATTCAAGAACTGAGGTGGGTAGTCTGTTTATCAGGTATGTAGCAGTGCTAAAGGCTGCCACCCAATACTTTAATGGCATACCACATGAGCTAGAAGGGATAACCCAAATCTATAATAGTCCTATGTTTTCTCTCTACTCGCCCATTTTGTTGATGTAAATGTGGACATAGATGCCTAAACAGAATACCATTCTGCTGTAATAACCACTAAATGATCTATATTCCACTCCCCAATCAGTTTGTAGACCTTTTAGTTTATAACCATTGTTTTTCCACAAAGCAATGAATTGTACAAATGCTCCATAGCTTCAGATTTGAATTTCAAGGGATAATCCCAGTAAACCGCTAAAGTCATCAACAAATGATATAATACTTGAATCCTTCCCTAGAATTGACTGGAGCTGGTCCCAAAGATCAGAATACACTAACTCTAAAGGATCCTGGCTCTAGAGTGAGAAATAGGAAATTGGCACTGTTGCAACTTACAAACTAACATGCCTCACAAAAAGAAACATTTATTTTTGCTCAAGAAGTGTTTTACATTCAGTTTGTCCAAGATGGCATGAAGGGTTCTAACATTGGGATGTCCTAGCCTTGCATGCCATAACATACACAAATCTGAATTTGTAAACTTATCATAACAGTAGTAAACTGAACATCATCAGTAGAACACTTATAACCATAGCTATGATAGAGTATTAAAAGTTTCTGAAACCTGACCAGCAGCAAGGAGAGATGAAACTGAACTGATGACGATGAACCAGTGGGCTGACAAACTGTGGCAGTTCAAGCTGGTACAATCCATCCTTTACTGCACCTTGAAGAAGAACAACTCTACTACACTTATCCTTTATCAAACAATGGTCAGAATGAACTCCACTATGACACTGTTATCTTTAGTGATTAGAGAAATACTTAGTAAGTTCTTTGCAATGTTGGGAACACATGTATAATTCTTAAGATGAATCAATAGATGTGTCATAAGAAGGGTACCAATCATACCTGTTGAGTAATAGGGATGGATTCCTCATTCCCAACTTGCACTTTTGAACTTCCTGAGTGAGTAGTTTTGAACACCAAGTTGGAACCATCTGCAGTCATGTGATTGGAGGCTCCAGAGTCCATATCCAGGACTGATCTTGCAGGGTTTGTGGAGAGGCCACTGCTTGATAATAGGTTGCTGAAGATTGAGGTGCTTCATTGGTAGCTATTTTGGGTGTAAGATTGACAGATTGACCAGTATTAGTTGAGGGACTAGGACAATATTGTGATATTGTACTGATTGAAAGTTTGCAGGAGGTGGTGCATTTGACTTAGACATAAAGGAGTGGAATAATCATGAAACTCTGTAAAGTTGTTGTGAAAGGCGTTGGCAAAATGTTGTGTGTAGTGTGGAGGTTGTGTGTAATTTGCCTGAATTAGGTTTGTGCAGGTTTAGATTGTGTTCAATGTGACAGTTGAGGAAGGACCTGTTGGATTGTACAGATAGGCTGCATCTGAGAGCTGTAAGAATTGGCAATAAAACCTTGATACTCCTGTCAAATCGGTGGTAACATTGGATGGCAGAGTGGCCTGATTTACCACACCTTGGCATAACTAGCTCGGCTTGAAGTAACTTGTACCTCTGCCTCTGCCTCTTACCATGTTGTTTGAAACTGAAAGTGTCCAGCAGAGTGTTGTGTATTTGGTGAGTAACCAGTTCTCCATAACTTGCTCCTTGATAATTGCTCTGTCCAGAATCAAAACTTCTTGTTGCAGCATATACTAACCCAGGAATTGGACCAGAGTTTGTAACATTAAGATTGTGGCTGTGTGGATGTCCATGACTAATAGCTTGACCATGAAATGGTACAAGCATTCTTTGACCAGACGAGTTAGTCAGAGGATTAGAGTAGTTGGTGGTATTTTCTTGCTTGGAAGCAAACAGGGCAGAGTTTAAGTGCTCATGAAAATTTGACAGAGCCGAGTGTTGTGTCGAGTGTTGTCTTTCCAGTCTCATTTCATGTGTGAAGCATGAATTGAGCTTGTTGAATGGTTGCATTGCTACTATTATGTCAGATTTACCACATAGCGTCGTACTCTGGTCCTAGACCATCTAGTATATACAAAAGCAACTCTTATTCTCCAATGTTACACCACTTGCTATAGCTCATCCCCTAATCCTCATTTTCAGGACATACTCATTATGCTTAAAGAGTCCTTTTTTGTGGTCTGCAACATATTTCTTAAGTGAAGTGTTCTAGCCTTCGAAATTGACTGAAAATGCAATTCTAGCGTGTTCCACATTTTATACGCACTGATACACTTAGCTACGTTCTGAACAAGGATTCAGAGATTGCGAAACACCCAACTAACTAAAAACTGATCTGTTCTTTTCCAGTTAAGGTACTTAGGGTTTTGTTTCTTCACTAATTCATCAGAATCAATACGCTTTTCAAAAAGGAACATGGATGGACAGATACTCTCACCAGTGATAAAGCTTTCGAGACCGTGTGAAGCTAACGCTGGAAAAAGTTGCGACCTCTAATGACTGTAATTCTTCTCCACGAGTTTTACTGATATGGTGGGAAGTGTAGAGTGAGCAGCTGAGTTGTTTGCATTTGCATTTTCAGCTGACTCAACTTCAGATTTTGACGAAACATTTGAGGAGTCAAGATTTGAAGCCATTGACGCTGGTCTACAGCTCTGATACCATGAAAGATTAGTGACGGACTTGAAAAAGAAAATAAAAGGAAATGAATGAATCGAGAGAGAAAGAAGAAAGACTCTGTTTCTTGTTCTGTTATTAAAACATTTGTTAACTCAATATTAGTTACAGAAGACTTTATATAGTCTGATACAAAAGCTTACAAAACGCACCGTGTGGTGACAATTTTATTTCTTTACAAAAACAACCCTACTTAACTTCTAATCTTTGCAGAAACAACCCTGCTTCTTATACTTGTTTCCAATATGCAATCAGCGTGAGGCCAAGAGACTCCTGTTGTAGCTCAAGGCGAGTTTGGACCCGCCTCTTATGCTTCCATGCTTGATTCTGGCAACTTTGTGCTTCACAATTCGAGTGGAGGAATAATATGGCAGAGTTTTGATCATCCAACTGACACTATTCTAACAGGTCAAAGCCTCCTGAATGGACAGGAATTGGTATTAAGTGTTTCAGAAACTGACCCTTCGACGGGGAGGTTCCTTCTTGCCATGCAAGGTGATGGAAACCTTGTGCAGTACCCAAGAGAGAAAATCGCAGTTGCAACTTCTTATTGGGCATCTGCTACAGATGGGTTGGGTGCTGATGTGAGATTAAGCCTGATTCGGATGGCCATCTTTACCTGCATAATTCCACTGGCTTCAACATAAAGAGTTATACAGCTGGGATTCCAATAGGAAGAACAATGTATTTTATGAAAATTGATTGGGACGGGATATTCAGACTGTATTCTCATAATTTGACACAAAATAATGCATTGTCAATTCTGTGGGAATCTTCAACAGATAAGTGTCAACCCAAAGGTCAGTGTGGCTTTAATAGCTATTGTATTGTGAATCCTTACCAGCAACCTGGCTGTAGATGTCTTCCAGGATTTGTGTATGTTGACCGGGAAAATCTATATTCAGGCTGTAAAAGAAATTTCACAGCTGAAAGATTCATTAACAGCCATGGAACTGTGATTTACAGCATGCAGGAAGTGGAAATTAATGTCTTCGAAGATGTTCCGTATTCGGTTCTGCAAAAAACCAAAGAGGAGTGTGAACAAGCCTGTTTGGAGGACAGTAAGTATCTGTGAAGCTGCGTTATTCAATATTAATGGTCAGTGCAGTATGCAAAGGCTTCCTTTGAGATTTACGCAAAGAGATGAAAGCAATATTGTTTTTGTCAAGGTATATGACCCTGTATCCTCTACTGGTGACCGACCCCATCTGCCGATTAATGAAGGCAAGAAATACCCGCCAATGGACATGATCATCATTGTAAGTTCTTTATTTGTTGCTGTTATACTTGTTATTGTGGCAGTTTTCGGTATTGTCATCTACAAATGTCATGTATGGTCGTATGGAAGAATTCTTGATGAAGAGTTTTGTGAGGATATTGCTCCCATAATATTTAGCTATCAAGAAATTGAGAAACTGACTGATTGTTTCAAGGAAGAGATTGGCAGAGGATCTTCAGGTACAGTTTATAAAGGGACTATAGTGAATCGCCAAAAGTTTGTAGCTGTCAAGTGATTGGATAATGTGTTAGCTGAAGGGGAAAGAGAGTTTCTAATTGAGATCAAAGTTATTGGTAGAACCCATCACAGGAATCTAGTTCGTTTGCTTGGTTATTCCTTTGATGGACCCAACAAAGTCTTGGTATATGAGTACATGAGCAATGGTTCTCTTGCTGATATACTCTTTGCACCCGAAAAACAATGTAATTGGATCGAAAGAATGGACATTGCTCGTGATATAGCGAGAGGAATTTTGTATCTCCATGATGAATGTGAGACGCAAATCATCCATTGCGACATAAAACCTCAAAATATACTCATTGATGATAGCAAATGTGCAAAAATTTCTGATTTTGGTTTAGCGAAGTTAATGAAGCCTGACCAAACTAAAACATTTACTGGAATTAGAGGAACAAGGGGATATGTTGCACCAGAGTGGCATCGAAAATTGCCTGTGACAGTTAAAGTAGATGTTTACAGTTTTGGAGTTGTATTGTTGCAGATCATATGTGGTCAAAGAAGTATAGACCAAAACCTTCCAGAGGATCAAGTTATTCTTGAAGATTTGGCATACCAATGTTTTGATTCAAGGAATTTAAGCCAACTAATAGGAGATGAAGAGGTTGAATTGAAACAATTGGAGAGAATGGTAAAAATTGCACTTTGGTGTATCATTGATGAGCCATCCTTTCGCCCTTCGATGAAGAAGGTTTTACTTATGTTGGAAGGGACGGTAGACATCCCAGTCCCTCCTGACCATACTTCTTATCTTACAAGCATTTAGTTAAGTTTAGACCGTATGTTTCTGTGATGGAAATTAAAGTAACTAAATATTTCAGTGTTTTTTCATTTCATTAACTTTAGTTTTACTTAATGTATTTCTACCCTTTTTTGTCTTTTTCAATGTATTTGTATATGTTCTTTTACCTAATATACATACATAACGTGAGAATTTTAATTATTATTTTATTGACAGTTTTTGAACTGTCATTGAAATCTCTGTCAAACAAAGGTCTTGACAGTTTTTGAACTATCAAAGATTTGGTTTTATTTTTTGAATTTTAACCAAATTCTTAGCCAGCTTCAAATTCTCTTCTGAACTCACCCCAGGTCATCACAGAAACATCATGGGTGTCTTCCATTAATTCCCACCAAATTCGGGTATCACCCCCAAAAAAGAAACTGGCATACCGAATCCTCTCCCTGTCCGTCATAGGAAACAGTGTCGTCGTACGCTCAACGGATCTAAGCCATTCTTCTGCCACTAAAGGATTTGTTGTACCTTTAAATTCTGATGGCTGATGTTGACTTGGAAGACCATAAATCGGCTCAATCCAATTTTGTACTGTCTGAGGTACCGGCCTTTCTCTTTCTTCTCTAGTGGACGGTACTTGAACGGGGTTTTCAATTCTTTCTCTTTCTGGTTCGACTCATCTTAAAACTGTCAAGATTTTTTTTTGATAATTAGTTTATTTTCCTTATTGTTACCAATTAAATTATAGAATAATGCAACGAAATTATTCACAATATTTATCCTTCCAAGTTCCAACAACAATTATCACAATTCAACAAGCAGCTTAAGTTACAGCACCACAAAAACCACTCTACTGGTATATTTGCATATCTGACATGTTTACATCAATGATCTTATGAAGTAGCGATGAGTGGAAACAATTATTTTTCCATCTTCGTGGATAACGAATTTTTACATATTAAATACATAAATAGAGTTGAAAATTTGTTGCAACAGTCGGCCAATATAAATTGATAATCAAGCAGCTGACATACATATGAAAACAATGACTTTAATCACCTCATATCTTCACCCTTGGTAACAGTATTAGGCCGGCGTGTTCTGAATAGTTTGGTCCATCCCAGGAAAACCACCCATACTTGACCCAAAGAATGTCTCAAATAGATCAAAAGGGTTAGTCTGCAGGCAGGGGAAAGAAGAAAAAGTCAATTTAACATCTAGGCCATGCAAGAAAAGTTGCATCAGTGCTCAGAAAGCATAGATCAATCAAACAATTTTTGTACACTACTTCTCATCTTGACCAAGAACAAGATTTTCAAAAAAAAAAAAAAAAATCACCAACACAACACACACACACACACACACACACAAAAGAAAAAAAAAAAAGAAGAATATTTAGCAACAAGCAAACTCAAGTGTAAAACGATAGCATGACTATACACACGCTCACATATATGTATGCAATGTTCAACCGCTAAACATAAGGCAGAGCTCTATAACTTCAACCAGTGAATCCCTTGAACAAAAAAATAAACATAAAAGACAGCTCCAACATATAAAAGCAGCTGCAGTGTGAGAGAATATAAGACATCAAGTATGCTCTGGAAATACAGTATGACATAAAAATCATAGAAGTAGCATATGCTTCATAAATAAGCTTCATTTTTATGCTACCTGGCCAAATAAACTCCACAAATACATATTCTATGTCACCTGATGATGTAATAGATAGACAAGATACTTTATTTATTATTTAATGATAAGGCACCTGACATTGTTGTACTTCAGAATTCAAAAGACAATATATTAAAAGCAAAAACTTAAAATAAATTACACGCTCTAAGAAAAATCTAAAAGAAGTTTTATAAGGGCTCCAAACAGTTTACATACATTGTATTATCAATCCAAAACCTAGTCCATCAAAATTTATCATCTAGCCAAATTTGACCAGAAGACATTTCAGCATAGTTTCGTAGAACAAAGGTATAAATTTCAATAGTTTTCCAAATTAATAATAATGGTTGAAGACTGATCCTAAATAAACCCCACAAATTTACTAAAGAACCCCTACTTTGAATTATATGAGATAAAATTGTAAATGGAAAATGATACAGGTAACAGGGTGGGGTAAATTAACCATTGTTGTCCACCCATGGTTCTTATTGGCAGTCAGGAGAGCTTACAGGTTATTATTATCTGTTTTCTGTGTGTAAAATACGTCGATTAAACAAATTAATTCTTCCATATTCAAAAATTTATATTAGAATTTTTTTAATGCTGCTATTGCAGAAGAATAATGGACAAAGTTCCTTGTATGGTTTGTCCAGTTCAAATTTCTGTGACATGTAGCAAGGATAATGAAGGTCTTGTAAAAGGTAAAACAGAAGTTTTGAACACTAAAATTTAAATTTGATCTACAATAGAAGATGAAGAGCAAAAGGAACAAGCCAATAAGGATTTTAATTGTTATGATGACGTGATGGAAATAATGATCATTTCGAGAAAAAAATTCAATAGTAAGAAAGTTAAATAAAAGGCAACAGCCTTTGTTTTTTAATTAAAAAAAAAAAGGAAAATTAATAATTGACAGAAATTTGAGCACCAAAAAAACCAGAAAAGAAACAATCATCTCAAGTTCTTCTCATGGAACTAGTTGGATAAAGAGGTGAGAGTGACATCTCAATCTCAAATATGGTGATTCATAAGGTGGTTGAGTGGATAGGCAAAAGGCCAATAAATGCAATTACAATTCAAGTCAACAAATTTAATGATGGGTCTCCTACAACAACTGTTCAATTTGATTTATTATTCCAAAGGAATTCACTAATATGGACTCTACAAAGACATCCAATAAAACTGGAACACAGGGAATATTAGTATAGCCGCACAGATCGAGAAATAGTCCATTTAGACAAGGAAAGAGGGGGAGGTGAGGAAATAGTCCATTTATAATATAACTCAAATCTTTGATATCCTATTGCATGCCAACTACTACAAAACTGCATATCGAGTTTTTCCCAACTATGCAGGTAGAAGACAAGCCAACAGTTTGAAAAACAAATTTGGCTCATGACAAGGTTTATTTTTATTAAGGATATTATAATCAAATTTGGATGTGGAATGCAGGCCCCAAACACTTTGGTGACTTAAAGTAAGAAATTCTTTTATAAAGCCTTCAGTTCAAATGGCTCAATTTCATGATAACCATGAGCATTATTAATATGCAACAAACGGTATAGGGAGAGTGTTTTCAGAAAATATAAGGGACTACCAAACTCAAAAAGTCAACCAGTAGACAGTTACCATTCAAATAGTCCTCAAAACCAAAATCATCCAAGCTTCCTGTCAAAGCCTCCAAACCTAGCATTGAAGATGGGATCGCCCCTGGAGGCCTCTGAAATCTGCACATTTTCAAATAAGTATATATTACAGGACTGCCGCAGTGTATTCATAAATCATACAAAAACTATTAACTTATTTGATATAAAATCACTATTACATGCAAAAATGTAAAACTAATAATTCATAACACAATTTGCTACACACTAGTGCAATATTTTTTTCTAAAGAAAAAGCTGCAAAGGATNAAAAATAACCTTCAAAATATTTTGTAATTTTTTTAAGTTAGGAAAACTGACGTGACACAATTAGAATTTGTTAAACATGTAAAACAGGTTAAACTAAAAAGATTTAAATATATGTGAGTAATATTATAATTAATAGAAATTTGTTTAAATTTTGAAAATTAAAAACGACCCCACCCTTCAAAATCGCTTAATCGACCAATATACCAAAAAAAGACAGATGAACACCTTCGATTTCTCTATGATTTTCAACGATAAAAGTGTTATATTTCTGACAAATATTTGATCCTAAAACTTTTTTACGCAAAATCATGGATGATATTCACAAAGAGGAGGAAAACCCAACCTCACTCCAAATTCTAGACTTCAGTGGCGGCGGCTGTTCAAAGGGTGTAAAAAAAGACACTCTAGTGGATCATCCGATGAGTCAAGGTGGTCCAGAGGTAGAGGAGACAACAGCGGCACAAGAAAAGAGAGAAGAATAGGAAAATGCTTTTGAAGAGGAGGATGTCGACGAGAGTTTAGGCGAGGAGGAGGACGCTGGTGAAGAAAATGTACGTTTTTTATTGGTGGTTTTGAATTTGGTGAGAAATTTGATTGATTTGTGCGAATTTGGAGGATATATGGTTGGTTTTATTGTTACGGTGGTTGTGGCTTTTTGTCGAGCAATTGGCGAGCATTGGGGGAGTGGTTTTGTTTGGGTTCTAGAGGATGGGGGAAGGCAAAGGAAGCCATAGGGAGGTTGTTTGTGGGAGTTGGAGGGTTGGGCGCAACTATGTGTGGCCAGCCTGCAATATGTAGGTATGGAAGTTGGACTTAGAATTTTGTAGTTTATGTGATGCTATCTTATTGAGTTGTCTTGAATAATTGGATTGTCTTGAATAATTGGATCAGCTGGTGTTGTTAGGCGTCAGGCTATTGATACTTGGGTTGTGGTGTTATGTATGTTTTGTGGCCAAAGCCAAGGCTGGATAATATTGGAAGGGGTGCTGTAGAAGAAGACGAAGAGGCGATTGTTGCTGCTGCCGATGTTGAAGGTGTACTGGATAATTTTGGAAGATGGAGAAGTGGCTAAAGAGAATGATGAAGAGGGGGGATGGAGGCTGCTGTCCCTGCTTTTGTTTTGGGTCTATATAAGACATTTATTCGTTGTATATAATGTAGTTATTTAATGTAATTAACACATTTCAGATTTGTACAAAAGTCATTCAGTATTTCTTTCCCTCTTTTGAGTTTTAGTTTAATTAGTATTCTTGTTAAATGACATTGATGTGTTGAAGTAATTAGGTTGTCAAATTCAGGAGAAAAGCTAGAAAAAATATGTATTGCCCATGATCGCTTAAGCGATATATAAGCGACTACATATATCGCCTAAGTGACCTAGGGTTTCCTATACAAGATCACTTAAGTGAGACAATAAATTGCTTAAGCGATCGTGCATCTGGG